CTTATTACAGCCCTGCAGCTTAGTTTGGACTTTCTAAATTTAACCCACTACTCCGGAATTTTTTTAAAAAGGTTCTTAGGCATAAGTCAGTAAGGGATGATAGAGCAAAAAACTTGAACTCCTTTTGCTAATAACTCAACTGCTTTATGTACTTACCTATCGCATCAAGAACAGAGAAGTAATAAGAAAGGTAAAGATACTGTACTGTCTTAGACAGTTAGGGTTGGGGATCTTCAGGATTCAGACTGACCAAAAATCTGGGACCAAATGGAAATGCACAGATCAGCTATTTTTAAGTCTAACCTATTTGTAATGTAGCAGAATTGACAAGTCTGTGTCTAATCACTTGATAAATATTTCACACTTTTTTTTTAATTAATTAATTTATTTATTTATTTTTTATCACACTTTTAAACTTTAAAATAGCCTTTAGATTTTATCACATAAAGTAAAAATAGCCTGAATCAAAACTGACTTTCATGGCATGTGTATTAAACAATAATAGTTTTCCTATCTATACATTGTGTGCATGTGCGTGCTCAGTCATGTCCAATTCTCTGTGACCCCATGGACTGCAATCTGCCAGGCTCCTCTATCTATGGGATTTTCCAGGCAAGAATACTGGAGTGGGTTGCCATTTCCTCCTTCAGGGATTCTTAACTAGGGATCAAACACACGTCTCCTGTGCCTCCTGCATTGCAGGTGAATTCTTGACCACTGATCCATCAGGGAAGCTCCTACATTGTGGAGGGATATTTTTAATTATATATGGACATTTTTATGTATATATGTCACAAATACCTCCATCTTGCTTCTCCAAAATTTAATTTTTAAAAGGTGAGCCACCTTTCAAAATCATCGATTAAACCTACTGGTTACTCATTTTTCCCTTCAGGACTCCCTATATAATGTTCTTTTCCTACCTCACTTGTTACATCCCAAATAATTCTAACATACATGTCAGCAACACACCACTTATATTCTGATCGAAAATCTTCAGCTTGTGGTTTGATATTTCAACCATAAAATATGTAGAATGCAGGTTTCTGATGGTTTCCTTATTAAAAATCATTAGCAAGAATATGAGCAAATAACCAATAGCTATTTGTTAAAGCTGTTATATTTTAACAATATTTGTTAAAGTTGAGTTTTCTTGATTCATCCAGACCAACTCCAAGTTGGAAAGAAAGTTGTTACCACAAAACAAATTTTAAAGAAGTAGAGTTTTGCCACTTCCAAATATTTTTGAGGTTGAAAGAATTAGCTTTGTGATTCTTTGGAAGAAACACTTTTGTAAATAAGGGTCATTTATGTGTTATGTGGCAGCCTGGATGGGAGTGGAGTTTGGGGAAGAATGGATACATGTATATGTATATCTGAGTCCATTTGCTGGTCACCTGAAACTATCACAACATTTTTTATTGGCTATACCCCAACAACAAACAAAAAGGTTCTTTTTTAAGTAATTCTTTGTGAGATAGTTCAAAGTCAAATTTTCCTGAAAGGCTATTTTTGTTGGCCTTTTGTGCATATCCTATTGAAGTCACACACTCTGATTTAGATTTAGAGAAATCTATATTGCTGAGATTATGTATTGCAGGTGTAATATTCATTGGAAGGACTGATACTGAAGCTGAAGCTCCAATACTTTGGCCACCTGATGCAAAGAGCCAAGTCATTGGAAAAGACCCTGATGCTGGGAGTGACTGAGGTCAGGAGGAGAAGGGGGTGACAGAGGATGAGATGGTTGGATGGCATCATCAACTCAATGGACATGAGATTGAGCAAACTCCAGGAGAGGGTGAAGGACAGGGAAGCCTGATGTGCTGCAGTCCCTGGGGTTGCAAAGAGTCAGACATGACTGAGTGTAGGTGAGAGGTGAACAGGATAGCAGGTTTCGAATAGCTTGCTTTGCTGAGTGACAGTCATGGAATTAAACAGACCTCCCTATCTAGCCAAATGACCAAATGTGGGGTAGGGGGTATCTCCTGAAAGAACTTTAATTTCCAGAGGAGTACATATTTATGGTTCCTGAAATTCGAAGACATTTGAAGCCAGCGGGGCCAGAAGTGAACGGATAGCCAAGCATGTCCTTTTAGGTGACATGGTGAGGAGTCCTCACTCCCCAGCTCACGGCTTGAACCTCCCAGAGTATGTTACTACCGTCCTGCTGAGCACATCCCCTGCTCATCCTGTAATTAGCGACTCTATAGCACCATTTAATTCTCCGTTTACTTTTGTGGATAGCGCTAGTCTTTGTTTCAGCTCATCATCAATCTTTTCGGAAACTTCAGTGCTGTCACAAAAGCTATGCATATAAATCTCCCCACCATGCTTCTGCAAATTAAATAAAATGTGTTTTAAGCTTGCCTCAAATGCAAAGGCTTCATGTGATTTATTTCCACACAATTATTCGGGCTATGCTCAAGCATGACTCAGCTACCCCCAAAAGCCCAAACTGACCATGGGGACAATCACTTAGAGGTGGCAGCCTTGTAGAGTGTGGGACCCTCGTAACCATTCTGTAAATATGTGTTGGATGAGGTATAAGGGGATGAATTCTTCATATCAATTTTTCTCTTTTCATAAGAAATCTCTTCGCCTTTTTCTAGAGAGATTTCCGTGCCAAGTTCAGGTTGACTGTCACTGATCAGGTTCATATCTAGCCATAGCTTCATTGACACCCATCAGTTACTAATACACTGCCCCCAGTTGATTGTCCCTGAACTTGAGAACGATGGTAATCATTTTTTCATGGCTTCTAGTTTTGTGAGTTTCTTTATGATTTGGGCAAGTTTTAAATGATCAATACAATAGAACTTCTCCAACAAATCAAATTGGCAGATTGTTGATGCTGCTCAAAGTATGATCCAAGGACTGAGGCCATCCACACCACCTGGTAGTTGGTTGAAAATGCAGATTCTCAGATCCCACCCCAGAAGGTGTGGGGCCCAGCAGTGTGAGTTTTAACCACTACCCCCCCCAACACCGCCCCCAGGTGTTTCTGACACATGCTAAGATTTAAGAAGCATTATCCACCTCTCCTTTCTCCTTTTCTCCCTTAGTGCCAAGATCTTCAATTTGGAGGACAGGTGGCAATGTTCCCAGGTAAATGTGGCATTTCCCAACCTCCCCTGCAACAAAGGGATGTCCATGATATAGTTGTGGAAGTAACCAGAAGGGGCATCCAGGAGAGCAGGTCCAAGAAAGTCTGCCTCAGCTGGGAAGTGTAGCCCCTTTGCCTACTGCCTTTCCTTCTGCTTCCCAGTGAATTGTGGATGTGAGGGCTGGTGCTCCAACAGCCATCTCAGTCGATGAGGCAGCCTTGCTGATGGAAACAGCACTGAAAGCTGAGCAGCTGAAAGGCAGAAGTCTGCTCCCAATAGTCAGATTACAAAGCAGCCACACTGGCCATGGCTTTCAGTTCTGCATCCCCAGATCTGAGTGTGGAGACTGGCACACAGTAGGGACTCAGTAAGGATTTGTTCAATAAACAAAGTGAATGACTGAATGCACGCTTGCTCGGTCATTCAGTCATATCCAACTCTTTGCAACCCCATGGACTGTAGCCCGCCAGGCTCCTCTTTCCATGGAATTTTCCAGGCAAGAATACTGGCTTGGGTTGCCATTTCCTTCTCCAGGTGATCTTACCAACCCAGGGTTGGAGCCTGTGTGTCCATGAATACATACTAAACCCTTTCATGTTTATACTGGTCCTTCCACTTATTCTAGGTAGAGCAATCAAGTGGATTTTCAGTGAATGGTCCCAGGTTAAGTGTTGGTCATATTTTCCCATTCCTTGAAGACGATGGGAGACTCTGTAGTAAAATATCAGTGAGCAATTAGTCCAGAACTAGACCAACTTGGAACCCACTCCAAGCACTACATGTCACCTTGGTTACATCATTTAACCTCTCAAGGTCACCGTATGCAACATAAGAAGGCAATGATTGTCAGCATGCTGTCAGCACATCCAATCAATCAAAGATTCCAGAAGAGACTTCAGAGTCTAGAAATAATCTCTAGTCTCAGTTCCTGAAGGTTTGTTTACAATTACTTTTATTATTATTTTTAATGAACTAATACAAGGTGCCAGGAAACCCTGGGAAAGGGGTTATTTATTACATGACCTCAGGGTCGTGTGCTATAAACATCACAAGTAGGCACACCCCTTTCACTATTTATTTCCAGTAAAACAAAAGATCGAGAAATCAGCATCACGAGATGACACAATACAGCTGAGACCATTAAAAGCATCTCCTTCCAAACTGGGAATCATAAAATACATCACGAACTGTGAACAGATTTGATCAACAAGGGACAGCCTCATCCTTCTGATTCTCCACGAATGCCATAGGGAGTTTCTCAGGGCAGAATGTGAAATGAAAAAGAAGCGCCTGGCCAGGAATGCTGCACGTTATCCCCCAATGACCTGCCAAAGGGACTATTTTTAAAGACGCATTTATCTCAGCAGGAGTGACAGCATTTAAGAAGTGGCCAGGTCCCAGTGCCAGACAATCTTTCATGGGAAAAGGCTGCAGAGAATGACTGTACCTTTACAAAGGCCTGCGTGATGGATGGGATGGGCATTGCCCTTGGTTGGCTAGACGGTTGGTGTACGGAGCCATGAGGATAATGCAGAAGTGAGAACTTGGGAATCAAATGGAGTTTACCCCAAATCGTCGCAGCCATCCCAATGCTCAAAAATGAATCGGGCTTTAGATTTACAAGATCCATCCTAACTAGAAATGCAGGCTTTTGCTGCCTTATAAATTTCTTAAGCAGTAACTGTTCATCAAATTATAGTATCCCACTGAAAAAATCATGTTATAAGGGATGTAGTAATCCCAGTTTACACCGTTCTCTTTTATGAACCAAGCCAGTGTATTTTGTATCACAAGCAAGTATATTACAGCTATGTTACATTGATCCTCTCATTATTGATGTAGCATTGATGTTAGGTAACTCCTGTAACGAACTGAGAGAAACACTAATACACAATGTTACATTTACACATTTGGGGGAGTCAGGATATCAAACCAGAGTTGATGCCTCTTTCTTCCCTGAACAGAGAAAAAATGGTGATTCAATTATCAGTGGGCAAGAGAAGCAAAGAAAACATTTTAATTATTAAAACTGATCTCAGATCCAGGATAGAGAGGTACCAGGAATATACTTTTTCTCCTCTCCACCTTCTACTCCAGAGAATAACCAAAGGATGGCTGGAAGCTATCACGGGACCTACATGTTTCTCCAAAACAGAAAATAAACTCAACACAGCCATCTTTATTCTTCTTTAAATTTTTGAGGTTTCTGGTAGTGAAAGCCTGGCACTTTATAGAATTGAAAGCATCACAAATCAAAGGACTGGTTCTTGAAGACTGAGGTCCATTTGGCCTCAGGGTTCATCTCCAGGGACCCAGGGCTTATAGCTCACAGTCCCTTCCATGCAAGACAGTTCTGATGGGTGAAATGGTTGTTCTTTTTCAATGGATTCAAAACTTCAATCTATTACCGACCTTTGCCAAAGCAGTTTGTCCTGAGTTCCTCACCCCACCCCCACCCCTACCCCCATTCACATTTCATACTAGATCTCAGGAAAATGTTCCTTGTGAGGACTGAAGAAAAACATATATGACAAGCCCTGCACTCCCTAACCTCCATGCCAATGTCTGCTTAAAAAAGAAGCAGAACCAAGACGCACAGAGGAGATTTTTCATGGGCTCTGACCATTGTAATAAACACAGATCGTGTTTCACTGCCAAGTTCACACTCTTAACGCCTGCAGTTGCATTTCCCCACCCCTCCCTCCACCCCCAACGCTGTCCACCGCGTCTTATTCTTGCCTACAAAGAAGATGGCAGAAGCCACAGAACACTTCCCATGTCGCTTCCAGGTGAGCAGACACATCAAATGCTAGGATGGATGATGGTGAGCTTGCGTTTAACCAGCGGTCTGTGTAAGAGAGGAAATAACTTCTCCCTCACAAGAAGAAAAGAGCCTGAATGAAATGAACAGTGCAACGTGAGTTCGTGAAGTGCATCCTCCTGCCAGCAAGTTAAATGGCTATAAGAAGTTGTGCTTCCACTTCACTCCATCAGCCCCAATTTCCTGGGGCCTCAAACACCAACTCCTCTCCAAATATGGCTAAATGCTGGCAAATACTTGCAGACACCATTTCTGCAAATGAAACCCAAAGACAATTATGTACAAAGTTAGTTTACAGAATGCCTATCCCCTTAAGTGTTTTTGACCCAAAATAGGAATAAATATTATTCTTCAATTTACCCCCTAATCATCATGGAAAACTTAGGACTCTTGGAGGGGGTAACATAGATTTCTACAGATATTGCTCAAATATTTGGTTTCCTATATCAGAGTATCTTCAATTCTATTGTGCCAATTTTCAAATGGAATCTATGAGGAGTGACACTTTAACTGCAAAAATATATGTATCGTATGTACTTCAGTATTCAGATGATGACTCAACTTCCCCACCAAGTCAATTTGTTAAGTCCTTGGGCTCCGAGGAACTTTACGGAGGAACTTGCGTGTTTCTCAAGTTCATTTTGAAATGCAAGAAAGTCCTTGTACCTAACTTGCAGAAATACACACCCCTCGCTTAGTCTGTCCTCCCACTCGAGGGTGTTCTCCCCCTTGGGCTGGGGACACTAGAAGCCAAGCATGGAGTTCTGGGATTCTACGGGAGGACAGCTCAGGAAACCCCTGAATCAGTCACCTGAGTTACAAACATATAGACAGCTGAAATGGGTGCTAAACTAGGGGTCCCAAATTCAACTTTTCCTCCTGCGCTATCCAGGTGTCTGCTGGACAGTGACAAACAGGAAGTGTGGGCACAGTTGAGGTTCCCAGACAAGGTTCTTCCAACATTTCCTTTCCCCAGTAGGTGGTTCACATCAGGACCTGTTCTCGAGTCTCTGGCAGTCGAAGAGCAATCAGGCCACCCCCAACGAGAGAAGTGGCCGCCAGAAGGATGGGGACCACTTTGGTGATCCCAACGAAAGAAGCGAAGATGGTGTTTCCCAGGATGGCGCCAAATTTGCATAATCCATTGAGGATGCCAAAGGCTGTTGCCCTGTAAAAGAAGGAGAAAGTAAACCATTCTGGAGAATACAAACTAGACCTCCTTAGGTGTATGGGACTGGGTTCTTCTCTTTCCCTGGTGAAGGAAGTAGAGAGCAGCCTGGATGGGAGGGGAGTTTGGGGGAGAATGGATACCTGTACAAGTACTGCTGAGTCCCTTCTCTGTTCACCTGAATCTACAACATTGTTTTCTAATCAGCACATTGTTTTCTACCTCAACACAAAATAAAAAGGTTTTTTTCTTTTTAAATAAAAACCCTGTTGGAGTGGATCCCTCAAGCAAATAATAATAATAATAATAAAGAAGTATAGTGAAGGTGTGGGAGGGAATTTTTTTTCCCTAAATATCAAAGTAACACATTCTTATTTTAGTCTAATCTGGAAATACAGAATAACATAAAGATGCAAGAATTTGTAACTTCACCACTGAAAGGAATCATCATAATTAACATTTTGGGGTATTTCCTTCCAACTCGAGTTGTTCACAGGTTTCCCAAGTGGCGCTAGTGGTAAAGAACACACCTGTCAATGCAGGAGACAAGAGACGCAGGTTTGATCTCTGGATCAGGACCATCCCCTGGAGAAGGACACAGAAACCCACTCCAGTGTCCCTGCCTGGAGAATCCCATGGACAGAGGAGCCTGGCAAGCCACAGTCCATGGTCACAAAGAGTCAAACACGACTGAAGCAACTTAGTACGCACACCTGAGTACTGTGACATGAAGCAGAAAGTGTAAGTGCTCCCCATCAATAACTCCTCTCCATTCTTGTGACGAAGACAGTTCTGCCTGAATAGCAGGTCTCCAGATAGAAAACTATATTTCCCAGACTCCCGAGCTTCTGAGCTTAGCCATGTGACTAAGCTCAAGCCAATGGGATATAAGCACAAGTGGCAGTTCCTGAGAAACTTCTTTAAGAGCTGTCAAGAGTGGTCTTTTCCTACTACATAGCACAGGGAACTCTACTCCATGTCATGTGGCAGTCTCGATGGGAGGGGCATTTGGGGAGAATGGATACATGAATGGCTGAATCCCCTTGCTATTCACTTGAAACCATCACTGCATTGATAATTGGCTATGTGCTGTGTGCTTAGTCACTCAATCATGTCCAACTCTTTGCAGCCTCATGATCTGTAGCCTGCTAGGCTCCTCTGTCCATGGGATTCTCCAGGCAAGAATACTAGAGTGGGTTTCCGTGCCCTCCTCCAGGGGATCTTTCCAACCCAGGGATCAGACCCAGATCTTCCGCATTACAGGTAGTCTCTTTATTGACTGAGCCTCCAGGGAAGCCCAAGAATACTGGAGTGGGTATTCTCCAATATAAAATAAAAAGGTTTGCTTCGTTTTGTTTTAAAGAGTCCTTTTTCCTTGCATCCTGCTTCCTGGAATGTAGATGGTCTCATTGTGGACCATGACTGAGGTCACAAAAGAGGAAGAACAAGATAAAAAGAGTTTGCAAGAGTATGCAGTTCCTATCTTCCTACGTCTGCAGTTATTAATATTTGGAGTCTCTCACTCATGGCAGAATCTAATCCCAATTGGTATTAACCACACTTCCCAGTGATAACTACTGTTAACCATCGATCGTCTCCTGACTCCATTTATGTACAGAGACAATATTCTAAGCACGATTGGAACTTTCCAGGAAAGAATACTGGACTGGGTTGCTGTTTCCTTCTCCAGGGGATCTTCCAGACCCAGGAAGCAAACCCTCAACTCATGTGTCTCCTGAATTGGTTGTTGTCGTCCTTCAGTCACTCAGTCATGTCTGACTCTTTGCAACTTCATGAACTGCAGCACGCCAGGCTTCCCTGTCCTTCACTACCTCCTGGAGCTTACTCAAATTCATGCCCATTGATGATGCCATCCAACCATCTCATCCTCTCTTGTCCCCTCTCCTAGTGCCTTCAATCTTTCCCAGCATCAGGGTCTTTACCAATGAGTTGGCTCTCTACATCAGATGGCCAAAGTACTGAAGCTTCAGTTTCAGCATCAGTCCTTCCAATGAATATTAAGGGTTAATTTCCTTTAGGATCAACTAGTTTGATCCCCTTGCTGTCCAAAAGACTCTCAAGAGTCTTCTCCAGCACCACAGTTCAAAAACATCAGTTGACGCTTCAGTGCTCAGCCTTCATTATGGTCCAATTCTCACATCCATACATGACTACTGGAAAACCATAGCTTTGACTATACAGACCTTTGTCAGCAAAGTAATGTCTCTGCTTTTCATTATACTGTCTAGGTTTGTCATAGCTTTCCTTTCAAGCCACTGAGCCATCTTAGAAGCCCATGTTCTGAGCACTAGTCCTCCCCAAATTAAGTAAAACTGTCTCTATTTCATACCACAAGTTTATGAAGAATATATATTTTTGTACTTTAAATTAGTTTTAAAATTTTTCTATAACTATATCACACTTTATCCATTTCTGCCAATCCCAACTCCAGTCTTTTTGTTTTCAGAATTTTTTGGATATTTTCATATGTGTATTTCTCCAAATAAACTTTACAGTCTTTTTTTTTTTTCGAGTTTCCCAGGGTGGGAAAAAAAACCTCATGGAGTTGTGAATGGATTCTTCAAAAGCTAGAGAATACTTAACATTTTTGTAAGATTAAATCTTCTTAGAATTCAGTAAGATACATCTTGACACATATTTAAGTCTTATTTTATATCTCTTGTGGGACTTCCCTGGTAGCTCAGACTGTAAAGTGTCTGCCTACAATGCAGGAGACCCAGGTTCGATCCCTGGGTTGGGAAGATCCCCTGGAGAAGGAAATGGCAACCCACTCCAGTATGCTTGCCTGGAAAATCCCATGGGTGCAGGAACCTGATAGGCTACAGTCCACGGGTTTGCATACAGTTGGACACAACTGAGCGACTTCACTTCACTTCACTTTATATCTCTCAATAAAGTTTTACGATTTCTTCACATAGTTTTTCAGTTTTCTCATCAAATTGATTCTGAAATATTTTATGATTCCCTCCATTATTAAATGAATTTCATTTTTTAAAATATTTGATCTTTTTTAAGATCTATAAATTCTTATGTTAGTTTTATTAGTGACCACCTCACCAAATTATTTTATTGTTTCTATTAGTCTCTTTGTTTAATTCCCTTAGGTTCCCTGGATTTAAAATCACATATTTGAAATAAAGATAACTTTCAACCACTTATTTTTTGTAATAGAAGTTCTTTGATTAACAGGAAAGGTTTCGAACACAGTATTTTGTGCTTTTCCCTAGCTACCTGTAATTCAATACCTCTGTCATCAATCTTGGGAATATCATTATTTCTGCAGAATTGCATTTACTAGCCTTCCACACCTTCCCTTGTGGTTCAGCTGGTAAAGAATCTGCCTGCAATGTGGGAGACCTGGGTCCTATCCCTGGGTTGGGAAGATGCCCTGGAGAAGGAAATGGCAACCCACTCCAGTACTCTAGCCTGGAGAATTTCATGTACAGAGGAGCAGGACAGGCTTCAGTCCATGGAATCACAAAGACTTGGACACGACTGTGCAACTAACTTTCACTTTTTTCCACACCACTTCACATTCATTTCTGGCCCAGGAGCCACTCACCTGCTGTCCTGAAAAATCCCCCCTCCACATACTATGAATCCATTTAAAACACTGAGAAAGTAACATGGAACAATCTCCAAAATATATGCCTATGAGAATAAAACATGGCATAGAATGGTATAACATAGCATGTTCTCATCTTGGTTTAAAAGGGGGGATGGTAACATACACATAAAACACACAAACACATATACATATAAACACATACACATATGCATTCCTCTTTATGCAAAGAGTATTTCTAACAAATACACGAGAAACTGGCAGTAGCTGCTGATTCTGAGAGGGGAACTAGCAGCTTATGGTAGAAGAAAATTGAACTTTTCATTGTAAATCATTTTTTTCACTGATGTTACACTGTCTGTGTAACTTTTTTATTAAATAAAGAAAAAATCCACAGAAGAAAAAACTCCCCCTCCATGAGAAGAAATTACCTGCTAAACAATGGGCCTTGACCCTATGCCTTTAAACCAGACCTCTTCCTATAGAGGTCTGGTTTAAAAGACGCTTACTCCTTGGCAGGAAAGTTGTGACCAACGTAGACAGCATATTAAAAAGCAGAGACATTACTTTGTCAACAAAGGTCCGTCTAGTCAAGACTATGGTTCTTCCCAGTTGTCATGTATGGATGTGAGAGTTGGATGGTGAAGAAAGCTGACTGCCGAAGAATTGATGCTTTTGAACTGTGGTGTTGGAGAAGACTCTTGAGAGTCCCTTGGACTGCAAGGAGATCCAACCAGTCCACCCTAAAGGAGATCAGCCCTGGGTGTTCATTGGAAGGACTGATGCTGAAGCTTTGAAACTCCGATACTTTGGCCACCTCATGTGAAGAGCTGACTTATTTGAAAAGACCCTGATGCTGGGAAAGATTGAGGGCAGGAGGAGAAGGGGATGACAGAGGATGAGATGGCTGGATGGCATCACCGACTCAATGGACATGAGTTTGGGTAAACTCCGGGAGTTGGTGATGGACAGGGAGGCCTGGTGTGCTGCGTTCATGGGGTCGCAAAGAGTCGGACACGACTGAGTGACTGAACTGAACTGAACTTCCTAAAGAGTGTGCATGAAAGGAAATAAACCCTGGGCATTCCTGCCACATTCTCTGTAAATGCCCTAACCATCCTGTCTCATGCCACCTTTATTCTGCTCCACGCTTTGTCTGTCTAGCTCTTCCCCTTTCTCCTTCATTTCCCACTGGCATGTCTGTTCTCACCTCCGTTTGGGTGGCACATACATAGGTTTGAGCCTAGCTCCTCTCTCCTGAACAAGGTTTCCCCTTGTCCTTTGCATCTTGCCATCCAACCCACTCTATCAAGCCTTAGCCTTCCCAAACCCAGGCCTATGCCAGCCTCTGGGTGAGACAAACTCAACACCCTAAGAGACATTTGGTCCATCAAACCCCAAGAAGACCAAGATGGCCCCCCTGGAGGATCTCGGGGCAGGCTGACTCCTGGCCAAAGGAGCCCAAGCAAGTCCCATAGGGAAGCGCAGAGAGGAGCTGACCTCTGGTTGGTGGGATACAGCTCCACTGTGATCACATCCAGCGCATTCCAGGCAGCAATGCTGGTCCCGCAGAACAGGCACTGCCAGCCGATCATTGCAGACTCGCTGTTGCCGAAAAACAGGAAGAAGCAGCAGACGGCCGAGATGAGCATGGAGCCACCTGCCCAGGGAGATCAGAGCAGAAAGAAACATGAAACCCAAGCCAGACAACACCTGCGAAAGCAGGTTCATCTCCACACAAAGAGAGCACAGCTTGGACCCCCACATGGCACCCCAGCCATGGAATTAGAGACTTCTGCATGGGTCACCAGAATGAGCCCCCCAGAGGGATTTCGAAATTCTCCCTCCCTGGTACTGTCCAACCCAGAGTAACTGAAGACAAGGCAGAGAGGGTGGATATTAGTTAAGAAACTATTATATGCCAGACTCCTCAGTGTCAGAAGATTCCATTCTTGGAACTTCCCCGATGGCTCAGTGGTGACAAATCCGCCTGCCAATGCAGGAGGCACGGATTCAATCCCTGATCCCAGGAAGCTCCCACAGGCCACAGGGCAAATGAGCCCCTGTGCCAGATCCCCCAGGAGCCACACATATTGAAGCCTGTCGCCCTCAAGCCCGTGCTCCTCAACAAGAGAGGAGCTCCCCCTCACCGCAACTACAGACAGGCTGGCGCAGCAACGAAGACCCAGTGCAGCCAAAAATAAATAAATACTTGAAAACTTTTTTTTTAAATTTTTTAAACCCAGGACACCCACATTGCAGGCAGATTCTTTACCAACTGAGACACCAGTGTAAGTGAAAGTCGCTCAATCTTGTCCGGCTCTTTGCAACCCCATGGACTGTCCATGGAATTCTCCAGGCCAGAATACTGGAGTGGGTAGCCTTTGCCTTCTCCAAGGGATTTTCCCAACCCAGCCACCAGGGAAGCCCTTTAATTTTTAACTGAAGGCTAATTACTTTACAGTCTAGTGACAGTTTCTGTCATACATCAACATGAATCAGCCACAGGCATACATATGCCCTCTCCCTCGTAAACCTCACCCCCCCACTTCTCTCCCCAGCCCACTCCTCCAGGTTGTCACAGAGCATAGGCAATACTTTTTTTTTTTTTAAAGACTCCATTCTGATGGAGCTCAAGTTCCATTGAGAACACAGCTGGACACGAGCTACAGAAGAACACTTGATCAAGAGCCCTGCTGCTGCTCATTCTTATGTATTCCATCTACATCCCGGATATCTAAGCTACCTTCCTCAGCCCTGCTCTGTGCCCCAGCAAGCTAACCCCTGTGGACGGCATGCCTGGGGCTGGCTCCCTTGTCAGTTGCAAAGAGAAAGGGCTCAGAGTATTTCATGCCAGTTCCCAGCCTGCTTCATAAGCCCTTTGTGGGGCAAATGCTACATCCCTCCAGGACTATAGTTTCTCCTGGATGCCTAGTCCTCCTTGGTTCTAGCTCTCCCTGGGTTCAGCTACTGCTGTTTTCTCCCTCTGTCCCTGGAGACAGAGCCTGCTGCCCACTGTCACTAGTATCTGAGTGTCTTATCAACCTCATCTATTCCCATAACCCTGCCCACACGTGTAAATGCTGCTCCATCGTACAGTCTTCACCAGAACTATCTTGGGTGAATTCCTTTCCTCACCAGGACTCTGGGTGATACAGTTAATGATAAGAGATCCCCTTGAAAGAAGGCTATGTTGTATCCTACTCAAATTCAATACATCCAGCCCAGAAGAGCTAAGGAAGTCTGGAGTGGGTACAGAGCAAAGATCAAGAGTATGTCTGGAAATGTGGTGGGAATAGTTGGCAGAAAGGAAGGAAAGAAGCAGGTCCCAACCAACCAGCTGGGAAACAGAGAGGAGTCCCCACCAGTGATCAGGAGCCTGGAGGGGGTCTTCAGGTTGCCAAGGAGCCAAAAGGCTGTTCTGGTGTCCCCCGCAAGTGCCTCCCTCGGTTGGAGAGGCGGGGGACGCCTCTATCTGGAGCCTCGTCATCAGACCCAGAGCCGCCGAGATTCATGCCAAACCCTGCCGATGAGCTGAGGGATGGTAACTGTCCACCTGCATTCTGCTGATTCTGGGGAGGGATAGGGTTGTGACTAGGTAGCATGCTAACGTCTTTCCAACAGTGAGGAGAGAGCTAGAATGGGAGAACTGTATCATCAACATGTATACATCAAAGTGGCCAGCCATGGGCTTTGATGTACAATGTTTATTGAAAACAAAATATTATCATCAAAGAAATCAAGTGATAGGGAACCATTGCTGTTGTTCAGTTGCTAAGTCATATCTGACTCTTTGAGACCCCCCACCCCACCCCATCGCTGGATTGTAGCCTGTCAGGTTCTTCTGTCCTCCACTATCTCCTGGAGCTGGCTCAAACTCATGTCCATTGAGTCGGTGATGCCATCCAACCATCTCATCCTCTGGCCCCCTCTTCTCCTCCTGCCCTCAATCTTTCTCAGCATCAGGGTCTTTTCCAGTGAGCTGGCTCTTCCCATCAGGTGGCCAAAGTACTGAAGTTTCAGCTTCAGCAACAGTCCTTCCAATGAATATTCAGGGATAATTTCCTTTAGGATTGATTACGTTGAGTCAATATAGAGCCACTATAGATCCCTCTGGTCCCCACATCTTCCACTCTCATCATTAGTTCTTATTCCCCTTGTGATGGAGAGGCCTGGGGTCAACCCCAGCTGCCCCTGTGTGACCTTGAGTGAGACACTTAACCTCCCTGAGCTGTCTCACTTTCCCCATCACAGGTGAAGATTAAATATATTAATATTTACAAAATGCCTGGAACAAAATCTGACCTCTAATAAGCACTTCCTAAGTGTTAGTTGAATGAAATTTCTAGTTTATGTCTGTCTCTCCAATAGATCATTTGTTCCTTAAACACAAGGATGTTGTCTGTCTCAATTAGCATCGTATTCCCATTGCTGACCACACAGGCTGGTGGAGCACTGTCCTGGACAAATTAATGTTTATTAAATTGAATAAATGAGGACTAACAGGCTCATCAGGAAAGATTTCTTCTCTGCTGTTAACAAGGCACAATTCTGGCCAGAAGAGGGCACAGTGGCAGAGTAAGCAGGATAATTGATGCTCCAGCAGACTCCACTGGGGGGCTGTCTGAGGGTCATGGGAAAGGCAATGTCAAAACAGGTCACTCACATCACATTGAGACATTAACTGAGCACCTGGCAGTTACTGGGCCCTGAGAATATAGCAGTTGATACACTGTATGCCAGGCCTTTTTCTAAAGATACAAAAAGGATACTATATGAGCTTTTAAGAGTCTTGCTCAGAAATGAAATAGACATTAGTAAAAGATCAAAATATAAAGACAAAGGTCCATATAGTCAAAGGTATGGTTTTTGCTATAGACATGTATGGATGTGAGAGTTGGACTATAAGGAAGGCTGAGCGCCAAAGAATTGAAGCTTTTGAACTGCAGTGCTGGAGAAAACTCTGGAGAGTCCCTTGGACAGCAAGAGGATCAAACCAGTCAATCCTAAAGAAAATCAGTCCGGAATACTCATTGGAAGGACTCATGCTGAAGCTGAAGCTCCAAAACTTTGGCCACCTGATGCAAAGAACTGACTCGTTGGAAAAGACCCCAACACTGGGAAAGATTGAAGGAGGGAGGAGAAGGGGGCAACAGAGGACGAGATGGTTGGATGGCATCACTGACTCAATGGATGAGTTTGAGCAAATTTCAGGAGATAGTAAAGGACAGGGAAGCCTGAAATGCTGCCATCCATGGGATCACAAAGAGCTGGACACAACTGAGTGGCTGAACAACACATGAAGAATGATGAACGGTAAATATTAGTTGCAGATACCCAGTTTGGGGAGTATGACAAGTTAGCACTGGAGAAATCTACTTTCATCTGGGATACACTCATGATGACAAGCAGAGACTCGGTGGTGAAGGAAAGGATGAGCTCTCTCGCTGCCCCGCCTGCTCCCTGCGCTCAGCCCTCCCTGCGCCCTTGGTTGAGGGGTGCGGTCCGTTCTTGCTCACAGGGGCACCCCCCACCCTCTCTTCATCCACCCTCATCTCCCAAGAACTCTTTCAGCTACTCCAGGAGCTGACACAGAATTCACTATTCAAGCCTAGGACTTAAAAGGCCTGTGATAGGAACTCACTTCCTGGGGACTGCCCCGGCGGTGCAGTGGCTAAGAATCCACCTGCCAACGCAGTGGACATGGGGTCGTCTTTGGTGCAGGAAGATCCCACATGCCTCAGGGCAACTAAACTTTTGCATCACAACTGTGGAGCCTTCAGGCCCTAGAGACCACGGTCTGCAACAAGAGAAGCCACTGAAATGAGAAGCCCATGCACACAGCTAGGGAATAGCCCCCGCTCGCCAAAACTAGAGCAAGCCCGCATGCAGCAACAAAGCCCAGGATAGCCAAAAATAAAATTAAAAAGAAATAAATTTTTAAATTAAGAAAAATATTACTTACCTGAAGTTATTATATACAAGAATGGATAAACAAGGTCCTACTGTATAGGACAGGGAACTACATTCAATACCTTATGATAGAGCTTCCTTGGTGACTCACTGGTAAAGAATCTGCCTGTCGATGCAGGAGACTCCGAATCGATCCTTGGTCTAGAAAGATCCCCAAAACCATGGAGCAACTAAGCCCATGTGCCACAACTATTGAGCCGGTGCTCTAGACTCCGGGAGATGCAACGCCTGAGCCCACGTGCCACAACTACCGAAGCCCATGCATCCTAGAGCCCGTGCTCTGCAACAAGAGAAGCCACTGCAATGAGAAGCCTGCGCACCGCAGCAAGAGAGTACACCCCAGGCACCATTGCTTTGTGGGCAGCAACGAAGGCCCAGTGCAACCAAAAATAAATAAAGAAATCATTAAAAAAGAAAAGAAATTCACTTTCTTGTACGAAGATTGCTCTTCTCTTCTCCAAAATTGTGGGGGGTTTTCCCATAAAAATAGACTTGTCAGAGCCACTCCAAGTGATTTAGTTCAAGTGCCAAGTAAAAATGTATGGCTTCAGTCACCTGTTTTTCTTCTCTATATTGTTATTAGACAGACCAACAGAGACTGCTTGGAGCACACTATTTGTCTAGCTCATTACATACTAATAGTTCGAAAATTTAAAAAAAAGGGGGGGGGGGACCAGTGGCAGAAGTGTCACACACTCTCACTGGAGCAAACAGAGGTATTATTTTAACCATCACGGGAGAGAATCTCAGAGCAGTCAAGGAAGTCGTGCGGACTCACAAAGCCGGTGCTGGCCGAGACGGCCAGCTGACTCCCGCCCGCCAGTCTCTGACACCACGCCACCCCTGCAGGACCTTCTGCTGAAAAACTCGCTGCCTCCAACTCATCCAGGAAGAGGTCATCTTCGCTGGTTCGCTCCGTCCCACAGCGTGACTAAGCCGTGACTCAGTGGCAGACCCCGAGCTCGGCACAGACATCACAGAAGTTAATCAGCCACCGTCTTCCCTCATCGGGTTTCAGGTCCAATCAGAACACTGCCACTGAAGAGGACGCAGCTCAACCTGCTATGCCTGAGACATGACCATCCTCTCGACGAGATTAAAAAGCGGAAACCACAGCCATGTCTTGGGCTCACCATTCTAAATATTCATGCAACTACTTATTGACAAAGAGACTCTGCGATTTATTTTTTGTCCTTTGAGCCTTGCTGCTAGGATCTTGGAATTAATTTTTCCTGACAACTACATCCCTGGGGCCAAACTCAGGCATGTGTATCAGCATACTGTCTGCTCCCCCTCCCCTGGCCTTGACTCATATTCTTTCTTTAATAATTTTATTAATTTATTTTTGGCTGAGCCGTCCGTGCTGCGAGGGCTTTTCTCTAGTTGCGATAGTGAGGGCCACTCTTCACTGCAGTGTGAGGGCTTTTCATTGCGGAGGCTTCTCTTGTCTCAGAGCACAGGCTCTAGATGCACAGCCTTCAGTAGTTGTGGCCCCCAGGCTCAGGCCACAAGCGCAACAGTTGTGGTGCATGGACTTAGCTGCCTCAGGGCATGTGGCATCTTCCTGGATCAAGGATCGAACCCACGTCTCCTGCATTGGCAGGCGGATTCTTTACCGCTGAGCCACAGGGGAAGCCCCTTGACCATGTTCCTCTGTGTACATTTTCCCTGTGCTGTGCTCAGTCGTGTCCAACTCTCTCGTGACCCCATGGACTGTAGCCCGCCAGGCTCCTCTGTTCATGGGATTCTCCAGGCAAGAATCCTGGAGTGGGCTGCCATTTCCTCCTCCTACTCCCGACCCAAGGATTGAACTCGTATCGTTGGCATATCTTGCACTGGCAGGTTGACTCCTTACCACTAGTGCCAGCTGGGAAGCCCCACGTTTACCCCAGCTCTGGGTGTATATATATTTTATTTCTTGTTCATAATGCCTGGATTGCGTTTTGGTAATAAACTGCTGCAAATCTGGCAGAATGAAGCAAGGCAGACATGAGAACCTGCAATGCACGGAGCACTAGGAGGTGCTTTGGGTACATTGTGTTTGATTCTCACAAACCCCTGCCAGCCCATCAGAAGTCTGCTTATCTATAAGATGAGGCCCAGAGAAGTAAAGGAACATGTCCAAAGTCAAATAGCCTTTAGGTGATAGGATTCCAACACGAGCCTGTCCAACTCCAAAGCCCAGAATGTTATTACTATTAAATAATAAAAAGTAACAAGATCCATTTATGATCATCGAATAAAATTGATCCTCATTTAAGAGCATTTTAGTGTATTTTCCCACCAAGAGGAATACAAAGTGGGTACAGCGGACGTATTTAACATCCTACTGAAGTGCTAATAGTATACGTAACTGTGACAGAATTGCTGAATCAGGAAATGAAGGCTTGTGCCCGACCCGGACTAAAGATCTCAGAGATCTCCAAGGTTCCCTGGGGTTTTGCAGACTTGGTTCTATACCAGCAGAATTCATCTTACCTACATGGTTTCCTGTGCGAGTTTCCTTGAAAAAGAAAAAGGAAAGTCCTGCTGCTTTTCCTCCACTTTAAGCCTCCGCCCTAGCCCACTAGAACACAGAGGCAACATCCCTGACAACTCACCAATCATCTTGAGCCTTCCGACTCTGTCCATGAGCAGGGCAGAAATGATGTTCCCCGGCAAGACAGACAGACTGCCAAGGAAGCTGACGAGGTAAGTCAGGAAGTCGTTGTCCTGCTCTAAGTCCATGTGGCAGCCCTCCTTCTGCTCCAGAAAGGTGACGTTGATAAAATGACAGTTGATGAACTTATGTTGATAAAGGTCTGCGGAGAGATGGAAACGTGGTTCATGTGAAACGGGGGAAGATTTGGGGCAGAGGCAGGGATTGGAGTTATGCCCCTTCCTTGGGCAGGCAGCACCACCCCTGGCAATCAGACAAAGTCAAGGTAACACGTGGCGATGACAAACCTAGACAGCATATTTAAAAGCAGAGACATCACTTTGCGGACGAAGGTCTGTATAGTCAAAGTTATGGTTTTTCCAGCAGTCATGTTTGGATGTGAGAGTTGGACCATAAAAAAGGCTGAGAGCTGAAGAACTGATGTTTCCAAATTGTGGTGCTGCAGAAGACTCTTGAGAGTCCCTTGGACAGCAAGGAAATAAAACCAGTTGATCCTAAAGGAAATCAATCCTGAATATTCATTGGAAGGACTGACACTGAAGCTGAAGCTCCAATAATTTGACCATCTGAGTGGAGAGCTGACTCACTGGAAAAGATCCTGATCCTGGGAAAGATTGAAGGCAGGAGGAGAAGGGGGCAACAGAGGAGGAGATGGTTGGATGGCATCACCGACTCAATGGACATGAATTTGAGCAAACTCTGGGAGATAGTGAAGGACAGGGAAGCCTGGCGTGCTGCAGTTCATGGGATCGCAGAGTCGAACATGACTTAGCAACTGAACAACAACAATAATAACATGGGGCAAGGTACCGATGTAGCAAGAAATCTTTAAAAATGTAATAACTTGTTTAAGTTTCTCCAAGCAAGGGGAAATGAAATGAACATTCACTGAGGGACATGTTGTAAGTAGAGCATCTTTCAAGTCAGTTAACAGCCTTGTTTGTATCAACAATATGACATTGAGGGCCACCTGCTGCAGTACTCCTTCAAGGATTCCCAGCTTATAAGGGGCAAATGACCAGAGAATTGGGTCCAGATGAGCCAGTCACTCCAAAACCCTTGCAGAAACCTGAGCATGCTTCAAAATAAACACCACTGGCTCAGTGGTTGTGGGGTTTAGGCAGTAAATAGATGACTTGGTAGAGAATGGTGGATTTTTAGGGCAGTAAAAATACTCTGCATGATGTTACAATGATGCATATTATCCATGTATCCAAGCCCACTGAATGGACAACACTGAGAATAAAGACCTTTCCCTCTGCCTATTGCTCTGGAAGTCTGTTCCTATCTCTAACTAAATTTTGAGACTTAGAAGCTTCAGCAGAAAAGTGTGAGGAAAGAGGGAAAATGTGGAGTGTGGAGGTTTAAATTCTGATTTACTCTTTTGTGGCAGGTGCTTCATAAATAAATGCACTATTATGTATGCGGAATCTAGAAAAATACTACAGATGAACCTATTCACAGGGGGGGAAGAGAAACACAGATGTAGCGAATGGACGTGTGGAGGGGGGGTGGGACAAATTGGGAGGGTGGCACTGACATATACACACGGCCAGGTGTGAACCAGGAGCGGTGGGAAGCCCTGTATAGCATAGGACGCGCAGCTCAGGGCTCTGCGAGGACCTAGAGGGCGGGGTGGGCGGGGAGGGGAGGCTCAGGAGAGAAGGTATGCATGTATACAGAGAGCTGATTCACGTGGTTATTCAGCAGAAACCAGCACAGCACTGTAAAGCAATTATCCTCCAATTAAAAATTTTAAAAATTAAAAAACAAAAGCCTTACCATGCAAAAAAAAGAATAAACCTTAACGTGAACTACATACTTCGGGTGATGATGTATAGGTTCATTCATTAAAACAAAGGAACCACCCTGCTGGGGGATGTTAATAATGGCGGAGGCTATGGTGTGTGAATAGGCAGCATATGGAAATTCCTGTATCTTTCTTCTAATTTTGTTGTAAACCCAAAACTTTTCTTCAAAAAAAAAAAGTTTTAAAAAATAATAATAAGCATTTGCTTTGGAACCAGTTTCATGTTTGCTGGAACCTTCTAGCATCAGCTGTTCTGGAAGAAAGATCACTATACAGGCTCTCAGCAAACCTGGGTTTGGGAACTGGCTCAGTGGCTGACCCTCTTTAACCTCCCCGAGCTTCTGCCTATAATGTTAGAGGAAAACACCTAATGATATCCACTGCTTCCCAGCTCTGATACTTCGAGACTACAAGTGTTTGCAAAATCCCAATCTCCCCAAGTGGCACAGTGGTAAAGAATCCACCAGCCAATATAGGTGATGCAGGAGACCTGGGTTCGACCCCTGAGTCATAAAGATGCCCTGGAGGAGGGCATGTATTCTTGTCTGGGAAATCCCACGGATAAGAGGAGCCTGGCGGACCACACTTCATGGGGTCGCAGAGAGTCGGACCCGACTGAGCTCTCACTCACCTACCACGTTAAGAGGGTGCATATCTATAGCATATTAAGTTTAAAAAAGCAAGTGTCACAACAATATGAGCTATATAATCAATTTACTTTTAAACAAACCTGTATGTTACCTATGTGAATAAACATAAAAAGTTTGCAAGGACACTGTTACACAGCAACTCCCTCTGGAAAAAGAGGAAACACTATCAGAAATCAGGTGCCAGATGGAAACGAAGTTTTATTTCAACTCTGTGTCCTTCCTAATGTTTGAATTTTTGCAATAATCATAAATAAGTTTTATAACTTTTTTAAATGTTAGGAAGAGTAGTAAGGACAGACCCTACTAAATGAATTGATATGTTGTCCATGTCTATATACACATGTATAAGTGTGAACATACAGACTTGATTGCACCTGTGTATATATAATGTGTGCCGGTATATAGTGAATATATGCTCATGAATTATGTGTAGTGTGTATGAACATCTGTGTCATATTGTGGTATGTGAGAACATATAAATATAAATAGTGCATATGTGCATACTAAGTTCCTTCAGTCTTATCCAACTCTTTGCAACTCTATGGACTATAGCCCTCCAGGTTCCTCTGTCCAAAGGGATTCTCCAGGAAAGAATACTGGAGTGGGTTGCCACACCCTCCTCCAGGGATCTTCCTGACCCAGAGATTGAACCTCTGGCTCTTATGTCTCCTGCATTGGCAGGAGGGTTTTTTACCACTAGCACCATCTGGGAAGCCCACATATATATATAGTTCATACATACAAAGTATACAGACACACATAAAGGTGCTTGGGCTTAAGTGTTACTAAATTCTATGAATATATATATTCATAGAATTATATACATATATATATATAACCTTAATGAAATAGCAGGTTTTATCTTGGAAACTCCTAAAATATTTTACATAAATAAAATGTACTTGCTGACATTGAAAAAAAGAGAAAGAGAGCAAGCAAAGAGGCATCACTAAAACTTCAAAGAAGAAAATAAAAGATACACCAAAGACGAAATGTACAAAACTCACCAATATTTTTTAAGTTCAGGCTAAAAATAAATTAGGAAGATAAGTTCCATAATGGACTATTTAAAGACCAAGGGATATTTAGAGACGAGACATTGAATTGTTTCAGATTGGCATCATGAAGGGGGAAAAGATGTTCTTGCATTAAACTGTGCCACGGTGCCAACGCCAGGGAGAAGCATTGATCCGGACACAATGCAAGTATTTCAGAGGAAGCCTCACAGACTTCACAGCTTAGCAATTACGGGATGGAGCCAAGCTTCTCCCACTTGTTATCTGTAACAATGTAAGTTACTTAATGTAAGTTGCTTAAACCTCTGTTTCCTTAGTTGTAAGATGCGGGTGTTGGTACATTTCTTATTTGAGACAGTATCAGTGAAGCCCCTGGTAAAGCTCAGTTCCCTTGTAACCCAGCTCCACTTGGTATTAATTCATAATGATAGCAGTAAAAATAATGAGGAGTGAGAGAGAGGTGGAATTTTGTGATTTTTTTTTAATCATGGAAATCTGAAATGGTGTAATTTTAAAATATTCTTATTTCATGCATGAAGCTTGAAAAGATGCAGTCTTTCCTTTTCATGTATTATCATGAGAATTTTATAAGTTTCAAATTATGCTAGGTCTTCAAGAATGCACTCCAGGCATAAAATGTAACCCTCTTGGAATGCTATTTTTTTTTTAATCTGGGTCATAATTTGTTCCTACCAAAGACCCTGAGCATATAGCATCAGTCTTGATGAGATCAGAACACTTGCCCAGTGCTTCTATTTCTATTTTACACGTGATCAAACTGAGATACAGACAAAGTAAATGATTTGGCACGGCAACTTCTTTGTGCCCTGCCTGGGGCAAGAACCCAAGACTCAGCACACACGTCAGCGAATACTTTACTGCTCGTAAAGCTTATGGCTGAGCAACTGGACAATTTCTAAACAGCAAGTCCACCCTGTTCATGCTCTTACCTGTGTTATAAAAGATGGTCGATTCAATGGTGCAGTTTTTGAAATAGGTATCAGTCGATGTAACATCCTCAAAATAGCACTCGTCAAATAACGTGTCCTCAAAGAGTACATGTTTAAAGTACATCTTTGTGAACCTATGGGGAAAAAATTAGCACCCAAATGATTCATCCAGGGAAAAAAAAAAGAGAGAGAGACTTGAGAGTCAAACAGAAAACAGAAAGGCAGAAGAAGGAGAAGTGCAAACTAAAAGGTTCTAAGACGTTATTTTCAACCCAAACTAGTTTCCCTTTCTTCACTGTGTGTTTATAAACAGAGAGGGTCCTCAGGTCCGCGGGACCTGACGTTTAGTCCAGGTACACACGGGGTTCTAGGCATCAATCTATGATTCCCAAATGCAGATTCATGGACCTTCTGCATCAGAATCATGGAAAGATGAAACAGCGTGACATGAAAATATAACATCTCAGTTTAGGAGCTTTAAAGACAGGAATATCCCTTAGCTGGTCTTGGAAGGTTTGAAGGCAATAGATGTGTGAGGGCCTCAGAATTTTTTTTTTAAATTGAACCAACAAAAATGTGGAGGAATATAGGCACTGTCATCCACACTGTTGAACATAATTGGTGCAGGCTCTTTGAAGACCAGCTTTGCCAAGTTTAAAATGTACTATCCCTTTGACCTTAGGAATACCACCTCAAAAAGTTTATCATACACATACTTGCTCATGCATTCAAAGAGATACATTCACTGATCTTCACTGCAACATTGCTGATAGCAGCAATGCCTTACTAGAAAGATAGATGGATAGATAGATAGACGATAGATAATAGATAGGGGACAGGTAAATGATAGGAGAGACAGATAATAGATGATAGAAAGGTAGATAGGTAATAGAGAGAATGGATAGACAGATAGGTACCACCCATAGCCATCTACCTAATTACTATAATGGCTATAGGTGCTCCGTTGCTCAGCTGCGTCCAACTCTTTGAGACCCCATGGACTGTAACCCCCAGGTGGCAGAGTGGTAAAGAAACCACCTGCCAATGCAGGAGATACACGAGACGCAGGTTCAATCCCAAGGTCAGGAAGATCCCCTGGAGAAGGAAACGGGATCCCATTCCGGTATTCTTGCCTGGGAAATCCCATGGACAGAGGAGCCTGATGGGTTACAGTCCATGGGGTCGGAAAGAATCAGACACGACTGAACAGCTGAGCAACTATAGCTGTTATAATAATCAGGCAGATCTGTATGCCTTCATCTGGAGCCATGTTGAAGATATATTGTTAACTGAAAAAAAGAACGCAGTGACATTTATAGCGTGTGACTTTCCTTCGTGTGAGAAAGGATAAGGCACATACCCCTTCGTGTGCGCGGCACACACCTGGAGTGATGGACACGCGCAGGAGTGTGTGGCCCGGGGGAGGGGCGCTGGGGGCTGAAAGCGAAGTGTCAGTCACTCAGCCGTATCCGGCTCTTTGTGACCCCACGGGCTGTAGCCCACCAGGCCCAGACAATTTTTTTTTATACCAAGTGTATATATTACTTTTTCACTTAAAACCGAAACAGCCAATAAGAGGTAAAAGCGCTGGATGACTATGAGGCACAGCCCACATCTGGAGTTGTTGCATGTCTTCAACTCTGACATAAATTTAAAAGGAAAGAGCAGCAGGACATTTAAAAACATATACTCACATGCATGGACATCAGCCTCTACTGGTTATATTTCCTAAGCTCGGTTAAAGTATTAAGTGAGAAACCTTTGTCTGTGTCTTCATTTGTGAGGAATTTCAACCCCATTCATTCGTCTGTCTATTCATTCATTGATTCAGTCTCAAGCAAAAGTTTTCCCGAGCGTGGCATTAGGTGCTATGCGTACAGACAGAAAAGACACGGTCCCGGCCCTCAAGTCTAATGGGAAAAGAAACCAAGCCACCAGACAAATACAGTTCAGTGGGGATCCAGGGACAGAGGCAGCACAGGGCACTGAGGATCGCTATTGCTCTTCAGGGCTGCCAGGTCATTCACTCCATGAGCACACACGATGGCCGGTGCCCCTTACTCTTCATTCTCAACTATGTTCTGCGGAGAACCCTAACCTAGAACCACATCTTATTAGCTTTGACAAAAAGACCTCTCACCCAATAGGAAGGCATGGGCCAGTGCTTCTCAAGGAGAAGTCCCCAGAACACTTGCATCAGAATAAAATAGGGTTGGACAAACTGCGAGAGTAGCATTGGCATATATACACTACCCTGTGGGGGCTCGGACGGTAAAAAATCCGCCTGCAATGCAGGAGACCTGGGTTCGATCCCTGGGTCAGGAAGATCCCCTGGAGAAGGAAATGGCAACCCATTCCAGGATTCTTGCCTGGAGAATCCCATAGACAGAGGAGCCTGGCGGGCTACAGTCCATGTGGTCGCAAAGAGTCAGGCACCACTGAGCAACTAATGCTTTCACTTTTCATGTGTAAAGCAGATGACTAGCAGGAAGCTGCTGTAAAGCCAGGAGCTCAGCTGATGCTCTGTGATGACGTTGAGGGGTGGGACGTGGGGGGCGGGAGGGAGGCTCAAGAGGCAGGGGGTTTATGTATACATAAGGCTACACAGCAGAAACCACACTACATTGTAAAGCAATTATACTCCAGTTCTTAAAAATGAAAATAAACTGACATAACTTGGGTACAAAAAAAAAAAGAATAAAATGAGAGGTTATTACAAAAGATAGGAGTTCTCTTCATTCCAACCTGCACCTCTTGAACTATAATCACCAGAGGAAGATGCCAGATTATTACACTTTAGGAAATGTGAGAGTCTCTGATCGAGAAAGTCAAATTGTTTTCAACAGATTCTCCTAGGGTTAAATTTAAATCGGCTTCCAAAAGCCACCACTGGACTCTTCCTATTTCTATGGAAAACCTGATCACTAAGCCTTTTGTTACAGGAAGATGGCTCTGATGTCAAAATTAATGTAATTTGTATTCTGACTGTATTTACTCAGGAAAGCTATTCCTGGAGCCTGTCTCAGGTCTTTGCCCTTCTTAATATATCCTTCTCTTTAATACAGTAATGGGGTGGTGATGTGGCCTCTGGTGATATTTTAATGTTCTGCCAAAGGTGGGTGAGAAAGAAGGGCCGTAAATCATAGCAGGTCTGACACTGGCAGACCTTAAAATGTATCTCCAAGTGAGTTATAAAAAGCCAAAGTTATAAAGGGAGAGATAAAAGGAGAAAACGCCAAGGTCTATTTTATGAGTCTTTTACATAAATCATCTCCTCTGATCTCTAATTTATATACTGAACTAGTCCAAGATGCTTCACTCAGGAGGTCTCAAAGGCTGAAAGAAAAGTTGACAGAAGTATCTCATGAAACCCTTCCTTTAAGGAAACAGAAGCCATGGGTGATCCAGAGGCTGTGATGGAATTATTATTACAAACCCTTTATTTCAGTTACCCTCAAGCGCAGTGCTTCATCTGCCAGGTGATCTAAACTACGCCAAAAGTCGCGTCTACGCAATCACCACGATTTAGACTTGAATGGGCTCACGCTCAAGAAACTCAAAACTAAAGAGGGAAACAAGAAAACTGATAGTTAAAATCTGGTGTGATAACGATTAAGATCAGACATACGTAGGACTTCCTTGGTGGTACAGTGAATAAGAGTCCGCCGGCCAACACAGAGGACACGGGTTCAATCCCTGGTCCGGGAAGATCCCACCTGCGTGGAGCAACCGAGCCCTCAGGCTACTACTGAGCCCATGTGCCTGCAGCCTGTGCTCCACACAAGCGAGGCCGCCGCAGTCAGAAGTCCACGCACACCCTGAAGCGTAGCCCCCACTCAACGCAACTAGAGAAAGCAATGAAGATTCAGCACGACCAGATACAAATTGTTTTTAAAAAAGATTAGAGATAAGCTACAAGATCACTGCAAACAGGCACTTATGATACAATCGGGTACAGCATGATTTTGGCTTTTCCTTAAGGATAAATAAAAGCTATCCAAGCCAAGATGCAGAGCAAGTGAATTCCAGGCAAAGTGAACAGCATCTGCTAAGGCACAGAGGCAGGATATATAATATGTACCCTTTAACTGACTCTTTGTTAAGTGTAAAATTCTCTTTCACATCATTTATATCACCTTTCAGAGAGAAAATAAACAAAAGGGCCTATTTTCCCAAAGCTCGCGCACACAGACGGTCCTACACAAGCCTACCACATACAGTGAAATAGAAACTTCTTCAAGAAAGAACTGGAACTCTAGTTTCTCACACATTATCTCATATCAAGTCCTAATTTGAGATGAAGCAACGCAGGAATGAGAAAACTATTCACTTCAGGGGACTTCCTTGGCAGGCTAAGACTTCGCCTCCCAAGGCAGGGGGTGTGGGTTCGATCCCTGGTTGGGGAGCTAAGATCTCACATGCCTCATGGCCAAAAAACCAAAACATAAAACAGAAGCAATATTGCAACAAATTAATAAAGATGGTCCACATTCAAAAAAATCTTTAAGGAAAAAAAGAAAATCACTTCAGAAAATACATGCTTGGGCTCATTTTACTTAAAGAATGAAGGAAACAAACGGTCTTTTGTTTATAACTTCTATGCAACTTCTTAAATTCTCTGTATAACTCTATATAACTCCTTGAATTCTCCACACATGGGCATCAGGCTTTTACTTCACCTCTGACACCACCTTCCAGAAAATGAAGAATGGAGTTCAACTTTTAGGACTGTCATCAAAAGATTTCAGGCGAGTCTCTTCTCCTCTGCAGGCTTGCAGATTTTAAAAAATCTTTAAAATAACATTATTGAGGAGATGACTTTTTCCAGCTCTAGTATATGGTTTTATAAATGAGAGGTATCTTTACTGTAAGTAACCTGGGAAAGCAAGGATTAGTGTTAGGAGACGGCCATCAAATGGTCGAAATACTATTTCGCGGAGAAGCAGACGTGTATGATGGGAAATACTGGTCTGTGTCTACCAGACTCTCTAAGGACACGGCCTTGTGCCTCAGGGAATTTGCCAGTAAATCCAACATACTCTCTCCATCTTCTCTTACGCTTACCGCCACCTAAGTGCTGAAATCACCATATTGCATCCTGTCTCTCTTTACACAGATCCTAGAACATTTTTAA